CGGGCGCGTTGTCGTTCACGTCGGCCACCTCCACGGACACGCTGGCCATGGTCGACAGAGAAGGCGAGCCCCCGTCCCTCGCGATCAGTACTAGAGCATATTCCGACACTTTCTCTCGGTCCAGGGCGCTGTCCAGCACTAGCGAATAGTAATTCTTGAAGGTGGACACCAGTTTGAAGGGGACTTGGGGTGTTAGTGAGCAGGTCACCCGCGCATTGCCACCGGCGTCATGGTCGGTTACACTGATTAGAGCGATGACAGTCCCCGGTGGAGCATCCTCTGGAATAGAAAGCAACAGTGACGTCACTAGCAACTCTGGGGCATTATCGTTGATGTCCAAGACTTCTATCAAGATTGTGCAGTGACCAAACATTGGGGGATTTCCTTTGTCAACTGCTTCTATTTGAAGTTTCCATAATTTAATTTCTTCAAAATCTATTTTTCCATTCACTTTTATTTCTCCACTGTTTGCATCTATGCGAAAAGAGGCTTCTGTATTAGAGGAGACATCAGTTGCAAAGGAATAAAGAATGTGGCCGTTTGAACCCTCGTCCAAATCCGAGGCGTTAAGTCTAATAACCAGTGTACCGTTTCTTGCATTTTCCAGTAATTTTGTACGATAAACTGCTTTGTCAAACACTGGGGCGTTGTCATTTACATCCAGCACTGTGATGTTTAACTCTACAGTGCCTGTCAGCTCAGGTTTGCCCCCATCCGTTGCTTTGAGCACCAAGAGAAGCTCTGAAGTGACTTCCCTGTCTAAAGGTTTTTTTAGTACTAGTTCGAGCGGTGTTACCTGCTCGTCGTTGGTCGGTACTTCCAGAGAGAAATACTCATTGGGGCTCAGTCTGTAAGTCAGCAGAGCGTTGGCCCCGATATCTGCATCGGAGGCGCCCTCTAGTGAAAAATGAGAGTCAAGAGGCCTAGTTTCGGAAATAAAGAGATTTTTGTGTGTCGCTGGGAATACAGGCGGATTGTCGTTAATATCCTTTATTTCCACCTCCACATGGAACACCTGCAGCGGCCGGTCCACGATCACCT